TTATTTGAACCTCCAAAACTTTAAAACAATATTATGTAAGTTCTCTACAATTTTTTTACACAATTTGCAATTAGTAACAAATATGTTGACACTGTAATTTAACTAAAATTACGAATTTTGAAATTAATATGATTTTTTAAAAGGCAAGCGAAGCTTAAGTGTTCCTTCACTGGTTAGTTTACCATAAATAAATATTTTCTTCCTGCAAAACTTCACAAATACAATCTCTCCCTTCAGCAAAAACCTTATTTTAAAGAGCAATGTAAATAGTACATTTGTTTCAACAGAACTTTTGAAATAAAATTTATAAATATTGCCAACTATTGAAAAACCTCATTTTACAATGCAGTACATATGTCTCCATTTCTCAAAACCAAACAAATTACCTAGTTCTATAAACCTTAGTTTTTCTGCTAAGCTATGTTGAAAAAGCTCCTTTCTACAAAACTTTACAAATGCAATCTCTCCCTTCAACAAAAACCTTATTTTACAGAGCAATGTAAATAGTACATTTGTTTCAACAGAACCTTTGAAATAAAATTTATCAATATTGCAAACTATTGAAAAACCTCATTTTACAATGCAGTACATATGTCTCCATTTCTCAAAACCAAACAAATAACCTAATTCTATAAACCTTAATTTTTCTGCTAAGCTTTGTTGAAAAAGCTCCTTTCTACAAAACTTTACAAATGCAATCGCTCCCTTTTGTTAAAACCTTATTTCACAAAGCAATACAAATATCTCTCTTTAGCAATATTTACAAATTCAATTTTGTCAATATTGAAAATTATTAAGAAAACTTTATTTAACAAATATATCCATTTCGAAAAGCTAAACAGATGTCCGAGTTCTACAAGCTTTAATTTTTCTGCTAAATATTTGAATATTTTTTTTTCTTTTTCTTTTTTGCAAAACTATAAAACTCTATGCCACTTAAAATGGATTGTGATTACTACACAAAACTAAATATAAATAAATAAATAAATTATGAGTCACACTCTAGATTATGCTAATCTTAAAGAGGCTTCACACCATTTATACCTAAAGCCATTTCCTCTGCGATCAAAGTTTAGTTCATAAAACTATGGATAACACTTCAGATAGAGCCGTGCTTACGAACATCTGTTTACCTCGCGACAACACTGGGGATGGAGAAAAGACTCTATAGACTCAGAACAACACCTCTCCACTCCAAAGTGGGTCGCACTTCAGAAGTGAGGAAGGAATAGGGATTACCCGGGCACGTTACGAACAAGGGTCGCCTCTTTTCTGCAAACACTGCTTCGGAATGGGACGTTGTCCAGGCATTAATTAATACCAAATCTTCCCAGATAGTTCAAACACACGTTGCTCTTTGTAATCAATATCATCTAGGAAGTGAGAGATTTAGGTGATTGTCTTGATGTCAGTTACAAAGCTTGGGAGTTTTAATTTAATTCAGATAAATAAATTGAATTTGTTTCTGTCAAATTTTATTTTTTAGACTTTTTATGAATTACAAAAAGTGAGGAAGTGAAATGTTCAATTAAAATTTCAGTATATAAAGAGGAAAGAGCACTATTTTAATATTCAGCTATCTTATATCTATCTAAATTAAAAATTCGTAAGAGCCTAATGATTTTTTCGATATTCAATTTAGCCTTTTTGTTTTGTTTTGTCGTGCTAAAATTATAAGATATATAAACTTTAAATTACGAAGACGTGTAGAAAAATGTACATGTAATACGAGGGAATAAAAAGAATTCGAATCTGATAATTAGTTCGAGAATTATTAATAGTTAAACTTGTAGTAAAAATTGTCTAGCGAGCTGCTCTGCAGTCCGCAGAAATACAACAAGAGAGTTGAAATTTGACGTTCAGAAAGGGCCATTTTCATTTGTGAATTTAACCATAGATTTTCTAAAAAAAAATTCCATTTGGTCTTTTAGTGCTTTTTTTCACTAATTTTTCTCAGTTCTTTTGTTATATTTGACATTTTGAAAGATTTAAAATTTACGAAGAAGTGTAGAAAAGTGAACAGGAACTAGGGTGGAAAAAAAATTGATAATTAGCTTGGAAATTATCATTGTTAAACACGTATTAAAAAGTATATTGCTAGCCACTCTGCAGCTCTAAGAAATGCAACTATAGAATTGAAATTTGATATTTTGAAAGGGTCATTTTTATTAATAATATTAAGATGGATTTGTTTTTCAAAATTCCAATCTGCTAGAAAGTTATTATAATTTTAATTGCCTTTTTCCTATTTTTTTTTATCCATTATTGTAATTAATTTACCCATTATTATTAACTTAATTGATTTGACTCGAGATAAACCGTTATTTTATAAACTCGTACTGGAGTACATGTCAAAAGTAACAAAAAAAGAAGGCTTATATGTTGTCAGTTAAAAATCTTAAACATTATATCGAAATTTTTAAAATGTAAAATAATAAATTCAAGAGAGTTGAAAACAGTTTTCTATATGACTGTTTTAATCATGTAAATCTCGTTAGCGAATAAAATTACTTCTCATTAATTTCTTCGTATTGTGTCATATATTCTATAATTCCCAGTTTAAAATTTTAATGTAAGCTAGTAGAAATCCTTATTCTACATGCATTCATACCTATAACACTCAAAAGAGGTTTTAACTGTAAAAATAGTACAAAATAGATTGCTATTAAAAAAAACTTTATAATAGAATTGCTTGATCACATTATTTATTTAATTTTCGTTGCTATATGCTTTATTAAATTTCTCTTATTATCAAACACAGTCGAAACTTTTATCTTTTTATCATATACTAAATTCTAAGACACATTAAATATACTAATTAGTTGGTGTAAACGGTTAAGTAAGATACGAAATCGAACACAACACTGTACTTTCTCGGACATTCTCTAAGATTTAATGTTAAAAAAGTTTTCTAACAAATCAGAAATTATTCTAAATTTTTTTAACTGCTGTAAATTAACGTTCTCTAAAAATCTAACCTTAAATTAATTCAATTGATTTAAACTGCCAAAAAGGCTAATGGTCATATCATCTTGATTAAACAAATAAAAATTTTCTCTGAAATAAATTTTTGTTACAATTAATTCCTCTCTTATAAATAGAACTTTCTTTCGAGAAATAAAACGACTTTATTTCCGACAGATTTATCTTTCTTTTAATAAAATCCTCCCCTTCCTGATCAAATTATAAATTCACCCCAACGTCATAAAAATATCAAAATAAACTAACACGATGGCCAATATCTACTAAAATTTCATAACAGAGCCCAATAAACAGGAAATGAATTGAATTCATGAATTTTTAAACATTAATAAAATTATAACTCTAAACTCTCGTTATTTCGGTTTTACTTTATGTACGAGGCACTTATAACTTCAGATTACAGTCTTAGGTAACTTATTTCAGTTTGTGTTACATCAATAACGAACCATTAAAAATTGTGCTTAGCTCCTTCATTAATTTTGACTACTTTTGTTTGGATTTAGTATTCTTATTAATACTTTTAGTCCATAAATCAACACAGTTTCCCCAATGATATCAGAAAGGGATTATCAAAATATATTTCGCTTTGTAACAATGTGGTATAATAATAACTTTGGTGCTGATTTATATTATGTGTTGGGATTAAATGAAATATTATGTTATTTTAGTGATAAAAATTCTGCCTTAGAGCCAGAATTAAACTCCTTATTTAGTCTCATGTCAGTGTTGGTCTAAGTCTAACTTATCTACTTTAAAGCAATAAGTTTGGATAAAATACCATGAGTGTACGAGTTAGTGTGTACTGTGGCGAGCAATATTTGTTATTTAAGTAATCGCCCCTGCGTGATTATGTCTACGAAGGATTTTCGATTTATGAAATTTTGTAATCAGGAGATATCATCCACACATGAAATTCCAGCACAGGGATGGTGAACCTTTTTTGATTAACGAAACAGTGCACGGTTTATTATTTTTCTGTGTTCTGTGAGCCACTTGTTACATTTCTTTTTTTAAAATAAAAATCTTTAAACCACTACTTTAACATCAAATCGTAGAATTACTTTTTGGAAATATATTTTCTGTTTAGTTTTAAACTTTATTAAAATAGAAATCACAACATTTTAAAAATATTTCAGTTTAATATTGAGATAAGGTAAGAGATCATAAATGCCACACTTTATGATAAGCAATTATATAAAATTAAGGTAACTAATGTAAGGATGTTTTCAATTTTTTGAAGTGTAAAAATTTAGATTTATCAATACAATTCAAAACATACATTTAATTGTGTTTATTTTCGTTTAAAAAAATAGTACTTTTAAATTTTTAAAAACTTTTCAACATAAGCTTTTTACTTTATAAACTTTAATAATACACTAGATTTTCCTTAAATCTGAGACATGTACTATGAGTACGAGCAACATGCTGTTTCTTATACGTTGAATTTATTGATAAACACCTGCTCACAATTTTTCATAATTCGCAATTTAATTCGAGTACTCAATTTTAAACTTACTGTTTTTACGAACTACTTAAAAAAATTTCACTCTCTTCCAAAATACTAACTTAAACTTCCATTAGGAGAGGACATTAATATCCTTTTGTCCTGTAAAATTTTAAAATGACACCTAAAATTATACTCGTTTTAAGATAAACCTTTGATCTCTATTCTACTATTAGAGATTTTTTCAAAAAATAATTTCAGTGAATGTAATAGAATAAAGGAATTGTAATATGTACTTCTAGTGTGCCACCTAAATATCTGTCACATGCTACCTAGTGGCACGTGTGATGTAGGCTAGCCATCTCTGTTCTAGAACCTCAAAACTTTGCCTTTTCTCTTGCTGTCGTATATTTCCCTTTCCAATAGTACAAAAAATAAGTTTTTATTTATTTATTTATTTTTTATTTGTCTACTATATATCTTTTGAAATGATCTAAATGTTACTCAGTTTTCATTCATGTATTTTTACTGTTCGAACTAACTTTAAGAGATATTCCTTTCTGTTCCAACACAGGTGTGAAATACATCCTGGTCCTCGTTTCATGCTTCGCCGTTATCACATAAAAAATGGACAGTTCAATCTGATACGGTATTACTACATGGATCCCTGGTGTACTACTGCATCATTTTCCGTACTAGCTGTTGGGAGTTTCTCCCCACCACCAGAAAAAGCCTCTTCCTCTTCGATATCGTGGGTGGTACCTGGTGGAATAGAACTAGATTTCTCATTTAAGAAAGTGGCGATTGTACCGTTTACCACTGAAGCAGCAAGGAGTTTATCTCAGATGGTCAACATCTCTTGCCCAAATTTAAATCTGAGACCGTGGAGGCCTTTCAGAAAGTATAAAGTTTTAAGTTACGATGAACAAAGGTAAATATTCTTTTTTTTAATACACAAAATTCAAGATTATTTTCTGTTAACTCAATCCATCGAAAGAAATCGCCACTAAAAACCCCCATGCGTAAAAAAATTACAACTGTCGCAAATCTTTTCCCCTCGAGAGAAACATTTCGTAACAAATTCTCTTTCTTCTCTGTAACTAATTTAGAATTTAAAGTATATAAAAAACTGAGTTCAGATTGGGTTTCAAATGCTGAATAGAAATTTTTAAAATATCAAAATGCAAAAAAAAAAAAAGAAATTATGAGAAGATAGCTTAGAATTACGCAATGGAGAAAATCTCTTCCACTAATTTGTTTGCATTTTGATATTTTGAAATTTTATTCTCAGCAATAAGAACTTTAAGGCTTACTCTAGGTTTGCCTGATCTCACTTTTTCTTTCCTTTAAATTAGCAATGGAGGCGAGACAGAATTAGCTGCGAAAAGTTTCTCCCATGTGGCGTCCACTTAAACGTGTTTCTACGCACAAATGAGCTATTAAACTTTAAGCAACTTATTTCACTGTAGAAAATTTACAATCTTAAAAATGTCTTAACTTATTCCTTTTTCAATGCAAAAAACAATACTTTAAAAACATTTTTAAACAAAAGAGCATTTTTACGCCACTGAAAAAATTCTTTTTAAAAAAATAGATTCCATAAATGGCACTTTTGTGAATTTTTTTAAAATTAAATATTAAAAAAGTTTTTTGGATAACAAATTGTTCTACAGATACTAAAGTTGTATAAAATTCGAAAGGTCATTTTTAACTCATTTTTCGTAGAGAGCATGGAGGCAGAGTCTTCATATACATGTGATTTTGAAATATATGATCCCTTGGCGAACATACCGTTCAAGAGAAGGGAATAAAATTTTGTTTAAACGTTCAAGAATAGCGTTAAAAATGATTATTTAATTTTCTAGATTACGGTAACAGAGGCGGGCGGAACTTCAACATTTTCATTTGGTAATAACAATCTACTTTTTCTCCTCGAAAAGTGATAATCTAGTTTAAAACTTTAAATGGAGTTGAAGAGATATTTTTCGCGGGAATAGTGGTAGGAATATTCTGAAATGAAAAGTATATAATATTTTAATTTTTTGACATGTAAGGGATTTAGCTCTATCGTAAGTACTCTGTTGACAATGGGGGGGAAAAAGAAAGTATTGTGATTTGCATGCTGCATCTTCCTTTCTTCCACTCTGCCTAGAGCAGCTACTATTTGCGCTAAAATTATTGTTCCAACGACCATTTTGAGTTTATTTTGCTCTGCAGATTACGTTGAGACGGAAAAAAATAAGAATTGCCATTTGAAAATTTCGAAATTCCGTCATTATAGCCATAACTACAAAATCGTTTTAACACTAATTTTGAACGCATTTCTTTTAATACTTTTACGCAAAATGTCATTCCAATCTAAAGTTTGTCTATTAATTTAATTCTTTAGATAACTTTAGATAACTTTATTTCTTTAGAAAAATAAATTACATTATGTTAATTTTTTTTAAAATTGCTTTTTTATGTCAAACCGTTTAATGTTTTGTATGAAAGCTTTTTAATAGATTGATGATTGATTCTAACAGTTAATCTCTTGCTTGCTCAATTGTTCCTACCTCATCTTTTAAGTATCAAGAAATAATTAACATTGTGCTACGCGCACAGAAACGTCGCTGTTGTTAAAGCAACAATCCTAATTTTACTTTAACGAGTGCTTAGTAAGTAATGTACAGAATACCTAGGTAATTTAAGAAATGAAATAATTTGACAAATCAGCTGAGTAAATAATCAAATTATCTGGATAATTGGTTGAATAACCAATTTCTGCATTTGCCGGTAATATGTATACAACCAATTATTTTATAATATTTACAAGAATCAAAAACGTAGTTTCCATTCGGGATTATCTTAGACAGCATGCGAGATTTTGATTTCAACTTCAATGAGTTGTTATTACGTGGGCCATTTTCTTTTAACGCAGGATGTCAATATTTTTTGAACACAATTAAAGTTAATAAAATTAATAAAGTTAATAAATATCGAAAAATAAATAACATTATGTTAATTTCCTTCATTGTATTCATATTTCTAAAAGTTTGATGTTTGGTATTATAGTATTTCAACTGATAGATAATTGATTCTAACAATTAATCAGTTAGTTGCTTAATTCTACATCACAGAAACATCGCTATTGTTCCAGCAATAATGGTATTCTTATTTTTACGAGTGCTTAGTAAGGGATGTGCAGATTGGCTAGATAATTTGTAGATTACCTAGGTACTTTAAGAAATGAAATAATTTTCTTCATGGGCTTGATTATCTGTAGAATAACTACTTCTTTCTACACTTCAATGGTAACATGTTTACAACCAATTATTTTATTACATTTGCAGGAATCGAAAACGTAGTTTCCGTTCAGGATTAACTAATGATTTTGACTGCACGCGGAATTTTGATTTCAACTTCAATGAGTTGTTATTGACGAGACTTGAACACAGATCGTCTCTTCGTTTCCTTTCCCAAAAAACTCATTCAAAGATGTTAAGAAGGCATTCTTCTCATCTCTTTTTGGGAGTTGAAGGTTCTCGTAGAGGGAGTCGTCCTACTTACTACCAAGAACCTTTATTACTGGCGCAGGTAAGAATTTTTTTAAATTCTTTTTTCAGAAATTCATTTTTATCTCGGAATTATACTAATGCCTGTATATTATATTGCAGTAACTATAGGGTAAATTTAAGACATTTTGCTACTGGTCGGTAGCCAGATGTAGTTTTTTTTTAAAACAATTACCACTTTTTAAAACATACAGGCACTTTTTAAAAATATGAATATTTTAAACGATTAAAAACACTGAGATTAACAAGTCAATTCATTTCTTTTGAAAAATCTCTCAAAAAATGACAAACATTGCTCGGTTCATTTCTAAAATGAAAAAGAAAAGAAAAAGAAAGAAGCGAGCAACTACAATAATCATGACAACAGAAATAAGCATAACAACTCCATATTTAATTTCTTTATAATTGGTGTTGAACTATCAATCTAATTTTGAGTTAAAAACTATCAAGGTTTAACTCTGTAGCCTTGTAATTTTGAACCCAAACCCGAAGACAAAAAGATTTTAACCCATGATCCGTCTACCATCAAGGATATTTTACGTCAGCACTGTGATCGGTGCGAGTCAGGAGCAGAGCTCATATCAACCAGCCACAGCCGGGATTCAAACCTGGGTCACTTCATTGGAAGGTGAACGCTTAATCTCCTGAGACACCGTGGCTCACTCTATATTTATTTTTTATTTTATATTTTATAACCCTCGTTGAACATCAGATACAAGAATGAGAGGACAACTACCACTGTTCAATTTCGTAACCTTGTAAGTTTGAACCCAACCCAGAAAACAAGCGAACTTTTAGATCAAGCATTGGGACAAGCTAGCCTTCGTGGATTACTTTTTGATGGAACTTACTCGCATTTGCGATACACGGTGAGAAAAAGAACAAAAAAACTCCCACGGTTAGCTCGACGGCAAGGGAAATCAAATCCATGATCCGTGTACCACTGGCAATATTTTGCGTCAGCACTGTGATCAGTACGAACCGGGAGTCGAGATCGTATCGACCAGCCATTGCTGGGATTTGAATCTGGGTCACCTCATTTTGAAACGAATGATCTGCTCTATTCCCTGAGAAATCACGACTCACTCCATATCCCGGTGAAACCATCTTTTATTAAACATTTATTTAACTATTCTACTATGTATTAAGCATTTATAATAAAAAACGTTCTCTTACATTAGAAATGAAATTTTCTTGTTTTTACTTATTTACTTTTTTATTTTTAAAATTTTATCTTTTTCTTTGTATATAAGCAAATTTAAAATCCCAACGAATCCATTATATTGCGAAATTTTCAAAAAACATTTCTTTCCTCCTTTTCCGTTAGGAAAATCTTCAATATAGATTGCATAAAATTCGAAATTATTTCTTTTTGAAGTATGAGTTCATACTCGAGCGAATGACTAAAATTTAACACATATTAGTTTGAGGTGTCGATGAATAGAATACACTTTGTCAACTTCAAACTGCGTTTTTTTCTCGTTAAAACAACGTATTTCAAACTTAACAGAATTGGAACTAATTTCAGTTATATTCACTTACTTAAAAAGTTAACAACAGGTAGCATAACAAAAGATATTTTGAAATATTCTTTTTAATTTCCTAAGCTGAATTTGCGTTCTTAAAACGTTCTTTCCTTCGAAACATTTATGTTCGAAATTTGACTCTCGTCTCAAATAAAAATAGATAAAATAAAGGCGACACCTCAAAATTACAAATTTAAAAATAAAAAATAACAAAAAAAAATGTTTAAATATTCTAAATTGCTTTATATATGCAATAATTTGAAAATAAACATAATTGTTTTACTAATTATGTGATTAAAAAATTTAATAAAGATACAAACCTTTTTTCTCCTGATTAATGATAATGATGGTTCTCCAAAATCTGAAGATTTGAAAAAGTGCGATAAAAATCCCACGATTCTCTATTTAAAAATGAACAATTCCTTATATAGATACTCATAACCGAAATCAATCAAACTGATCGCTTTTGCCTTTGAGTAAATTTAACTCGCAAAACTGTTTAATTCCTATTTATAGATTATTATAAACTCTTCATTGATACTCACGATTTTAATAAAATTTATTTAAATAATTTAAAGTTTCGATATCTTTTGAATTTCAAAAATCATCAACCATGCTAAATAGCTAAATTGAAGTTTTCCACTTATTTTCTCCAAACTTTTCTCTATGAGCTATCTCAATAATTTCATTTCACACCTAACAAAGCATACTCTCAGCTCACTTTTACTAATTAAATTCTCAAAATTTCATATACTTCTTCCCGCCTTTCCCATGTCCGTTTTCAGCGTCCTTTGCTCTTTACTTTCCACTGTATCACCCTTAATTGACTCGGTATCTCATTAAGACAATCATTTCTCTTTAAGAATGTGCACAAACGATTTAAAAGCAAAGGAAAAGTGAACAGCTGCAATTTGAATAAAATTATCGTTTGAACTGAGGCAAAAGATATTAAATCGCCGAAGAAGAACTAATCGATCCCAAAGCGAACTGACTCTTTGGTTGTACTGAAACTTTTGATTTGGAGAAATATTGAGATACACAATAATTGCATTCCTTTGAAATATTTATTTGTAAAAATTCTTAGTTTTTTTAAATCAACTATTCATTGACATGTATCAGTAATGAATTATAGAATGATAGTACAGAGCGTTTTATGGGGATTTTTTTATTTATTAGAGTATATTTATTAATTGTTTTAAATATTTTTCGGATTCATCTTATTTGATTTTTGGGGCAAAATATAAATAAAAACTGTGAATTTTCTTTATTTCAATTTAGGTGTAAGTATAAAAAAGACTCGTGTTTTATAATCAATTATGAATTTTATAGAAACTATATTAAAAATAACAATGAAGGACTGATTGTTCATTGGTTAAGGTACTGAACTGTTATTGTGAAGAACCGGGGTTCGATCATCAGAGCTGGCTTGAAGCTGACCCAACTTCAGATTGTTGGGTACTAGCTTATCTGGGAAGTAAAGGTGATCTGTGCACTGTTGGTCCTCCGGCCTACAACGGGCTGTAGCGGGAATGCTTTATTTCAAATTAGTGTGAAAATAAAATAAATAAAAAATAATACATTGAACTAAAAAAAATACTCATAGAAAAATTTCACAAACAGATTAGAGCAAATTTCCTTGTAGCAAAACATATGAAACTTATAATAAATTATGCATCTGCTGTACGTTGAGATATTTCCCGAGATGGAACATGCTTTAATGTTTCAATGTATAATCTCTACACGGTTTAAATAAAATAAACATTGTGGCTAATCTAAATAAACAATCTTTGTTCCCTCATTACTAAAACATTTAAAAATCTTCTATTCGATAATTAGGGAAAATTCAATTGAATAGTTTAATTAATTCAAGTCAAGTCCTGCATAGTGCCTCATCGTGGCGGGGTGGTGTCACTGGGCGGAATGGGCGAAGTACGTCGGGAGTTTAATCTCCTGGTAGGGCCACCCTAGGCGTGAAGGCCATTCCACTATGCCCAGCTAAAGTATGCAGGTGAAGGAGCTGAGTCAGCCTTCTGCCTTTTGGTGCTCCGGTCTTCATTGATCACAGAAGCTGCACTTCTTCCACATCTATGACTTCGGAAAATCTGACTTTCTCGGAGCTCCACTCCCTTTTTAACAGGCTTCGTGATCCTGTGGCCCCTCCAGTTCATCATTGGTATCAGTGCAACCGCCCAGGTGGCAGCCTGACCCTTCAGTGCAGCAGGCGGGATCAGACCGTTATATCAAGATTTCGAAGCGGTCACCTAAGAACTATGTTGTTCAATAATGGTTCAAGAATTTTCCCTGTTTGCACTAAGTGTAACGACCAACAAGCTACTCCTGAACATATACTTCAATGCCTAAATATCTCTAAAGTGGACCTCTTTTCAGATCCACTTTTTGTTACAGACTTGCTCAGAGTCATGGACTTGGTTTAGCTCCGCGAACCGTGTGGGCCAGCAACAACAACAACAACAACAACAATTAATTCATATTCAAATAAGGGAAATGAATTAGAAAAAAAAATTGTTTTGGTGGGAATAAAAGCTTTTTTTTCTCATCATGACATTTCAATGCTTTGCTGTGATTTTATCCGTTGGCTAAGGCCATAATTAGAAGTGAAAAAAAAATAAAACGAAAAGAAACCTAATAGAAACGTTTGAATTGTTTTTGAATTAATAGTGCGACAGGACGTAACTAAAATATAAAACTAACAGAACTAAAAATATAAAAATTAAAATTTGGAAACTAAAACCTAAAAAATATATTTTAATGAATAAAATAAAAGATATTCAAAAACATTAATTAGTGACTTAATAAATTAGAAATTTGCATTCTATATTGGTTTAAATTGGCTTAATACTATTAATGGTTAGAAGGGACTCCGATACGCTCTTCACGAAAACTTGTTACAAAATTTATTTGCCTATAACTTTAGAGATCTTTTAATCATTTTTTAACTTTTAATCAAGTTAACGAAAAAATATCTATTTATTTTGTCCTTGCTTTAAGGCTGGGAGAGATTATTATTTCGGTAGCATTTTTTTTATTAAAAAAAAATTATTAAAATCTTCCTTGTCATTAATTTCTATGAGTGGATTTTTAAAGAATAAAACAAATAATACAGTGATACGGTAACATATTGACATTATCAATCATACAGAATGGTAAAAAAATTACTTACTCTTTGTTTTTCCTTTTCAAACAAAGTAAGCTGACATGGCTCTTAATCCTCTTCCCTTAAACCCTCCAACGGGAGCTCTATCCTATACCCGATTTTCGTTCATTTTGTTGATACTTGGGAAATAATAGGACGTAGGAAAAGTCTCCACCATCTCTGGGATTAAAGAGATTGTCCCCGCTTAGATGAGGAGCAGCAGCAGCCGTTTCATATTTCCTTCATGACGGTTTGACCAACAACAGGTGTCAAATCTCTCATCTTTCGGATTGAGCAGTCTCTCGGAAAAAAAAAGTTTAAGAAAATAATAAAAATTTAACAGAGTGTTTGGCTATAAAAATTCTGTAAAAGCAATTAAAAATATTGCATAATTACAGAATACTCAGTTCATTTTGGAGGATTTGTTTTTGATTTAATTGATTGTGGCTATTATTTATGAGAGTGTTGATTTCTTATGAACTCGTCGAAATTTTCTTTTTTTTTTGTATGGACAAATCTGATGTTAACATCGCACTAAGTATTCCTAAGTTAATAAAGCTAATTAGAGCAGTATAGAAATTATTAATACCCATTAACATGAGCCATTTTTTTAAAAGGATAGAATTAAAGTGTACAAATACTTTATACAGCTTTATTCACACGGTAAAAACGGACCCAAAGTATATCCATGCTTGTTTGCCACTAAATATTTGAATAGTTCAACATGATTACTGCAGTATGCTTATTAGAAAAGTTTGAATTATTCTTGAAAATAAATAATATTTTAAAAGGGAAAAGGAATAAAGCATATTTTTCTATTTATAATTTTAATAAAAAATAGTATATCATCTTGAAATGATAAAAATTTAAATAAATATTAATATATAATATATATAATTCTTAATATAAGATAATATTAAACTTGTATAATAAAATATAACAATAAATATATGATGTGTAATAAAGTTTTGCAATAATATTACTAAATAAATAATTTATCAGATAGTACCAAAAAATTTAAATATTTGTGTAAAATACTGAAATTAAAATATTTGAAAAATATTTGACAGATATTTTTTCATTTAAAATAGATTTTTCGATACCAGAAAATAACGCAGCTTAATGCATTTCAAATTGTTTTTATCTAAAAGAAATTTAAGCAAACATTAAATTTATTAATTTATTATTATTAATCTATTTTTAGTTAAAAAAGAAATGGCTAGTTTTAATAGATAATATCTTATTAAAAGACCTTTTCAGGATAGGGCATTAATAAACACTGAAAATTTTTAATTATCGATTTAGAGGTACCGTGCGCAATATATAATTATAAAAAATATATATAAAAAAGATCTGTCCATCATAAAAAATTAAAGATTATGTAGTATTTTGTATACTTTAAGCATAATAACAACATTGAGTTATTGCAAAATTACTAAAACATTCAAAATAAAGAAATATACTTGAATGAAAGCACAAAACAAATAATTTTGAGTAAAATAATCCGAAGTATAACGTGCATCAAACAGATTCTTTTTTAAAATTTCTTATAGAACAGTAAAAATAATTTCAGAAAACTGTAGATATTAAATAAATAAATTATTAAATTTTTTAATCATAATATGACTTAAATATCTAGAAAAAAGAACAACTCCTTTATATAATATCCTTGAAAGTTTCAGAATCCATTCCGAGAGTTATTAAAAACAAAAAATTACAATCTTGGTACTTTGAGGAATAAATCAACGTCATTAAAAATTGAATTTATTTCGAACTTAGTTTTATTTAAATATTAAAAATTCTAAAAAGAATTTCTATAAAATTATCATGAAATTTTTCTTACTATGCAAAATAATTAATCTAATTACTCATTTATTTATCAATTAATGATGAATAATTTCATTACAGTTTGTTTGATGGATAAGGTTAATTTTAAATTAAGATTAAAAATGAACTCAGTTTAACGATGTAAATATTTAAAAAAAAAAGTATTAGTACAAGTTATAGAATACCAAAACACTTACTTGAATGTTATAATCCAAAAATACTTGATATTAAACGTGAAAAACTATCGTACAGAATAATGAAGTTCACTATCTCTTATCCCATTTTACTTTCACAAATCTGAAACAAAAGTTTGCATGTAGACTATCTGTGACGTCACGACTGTTCAGGGACAGCATGTAACGTCTTAGTATGTAGAATAGAATTTGCAGAATAACAATTCGAATTTGTTGAATAATAATAATTTTCTGAATAATAGAATTTTTGCTGTCACTAACTCCGGTGGCTTTACAATCATCGTTGTTGTTGTTGTTTTTCGTTTAAATGTCGCTAGAAAAGAGTATTTTGTTCTGCTTTAGCATCTACTGTTTTCTGAAATGCAACTTCATAGTTGAAATTTGAAGTGCCGGTAGGTCTTATTTGAATTGTAAACTTAACTAGATTTTTTTTCGAAATTCAAATTTGCTCCTAAGTTATTGCAATTTTAACTGGTTTAATTTTTTTTCCTTTTAATAAAAATTAAACCATTGTTATAAAAAAATATATATTTCTCTCACAATTTTCATTTCATAAGCTATCACTTAACTTGATATCAAAAGTAACAAAAAAATGACTAAATTCAAAAATGAGAGAGAGAGAGAGATTGGATTTTACCGGATATAAATCTTAACATTCATACTAAAATATTTAAAAATATAAAGGTTGAAGAAGCATAAAAACTGTTTACAATGCAAACTGTCATATGATACAAATATATCGTTATATATCGTTAACAAGTAAAATTCCTTTTTGGGTATAACTTCTCATTTTGTTGCACAATCTGTATTCTTAAGTTTAAATATTTTTCCAAATACAGTTGATTATTCTTTAAATCCAGGTATCATTTTATGTCTCTACGATTAATGTATTAATAAAATGTACTTACATTATATTATAACAATTATCTAAACAAAATTATTTTCTTTTATCGGTTATAAAAAAATAATAATAAATGAGGAACAATCACGGGGGTTGGTGCATTGCACGGAGCTTCTTATTAGTTCCTTAAAAAATAATTTGAATTAATTGAACTGAAACTGTTAGAAACTACATTTTTCTGGAAGTTTTTCGTAAGTTTTTCCCTAAAAAAAAAGTAAGTATGTCACATCTAAAATAAAAATGGGAAGGGGTGCATTACTTTCGATTGTAAAGGAGTTTTTTTTTTTTAAACGAAAGTATTGCTCTCCCCTTGTTCCGTTATAAGTTTGACAGATATTAAATTATTTTCGTCGTCTTAATCAACTTTAAAAACTTTGTTTTTCATACTTTCATTTCAATTCATCATTTTCTATTCAATTTTTCATTCTGTTAGTTTGTTTATTCCAAAAAGTAATCAAAATTTCAATTGGCCATAAATTTTACTTGCACTGTTTTTAAATAGTTTATATATCATCCACATTAAAGCTCCAGTTCAATTTTTAAAAGTCATCCAAAACTATGAATGACGATCAATTCTCTTTAGCGATAATAAGCCGATAAATTCTCTTTTAATGATCAGGAGACGATTGATTGGGAGATTAAATGATTGCCATCAGGCGCGAAGCTCCAGTGAAGATTCGAATGCTGTCACAAAATCACACTTTAAAGATATCATCTTCTCGGAATGAATAGTCAGTCAACAAAAAACATAGAAAAAAAGTGTAATGGAAGCTTCAACGATAATATGCAGTTCACGCTGGTAAATTTTTAAATGAAAATTGTAAAAGTCATGGGACCAGCTGTAGGCAAATGTCTTAAACGAAGCATGCTATGTCATCGACGGCCAAGCAGGCTTTTAGTTTCACAGTACTTTTTTTAATCGATTATTTTAAATGGAGTTAAAAAGAAATAAGAAATATTGATTACCGTCGAAAGCCATATTCAAAATTAAAAGCTTATAAACTTTTTTAATTACTTAGAATTTCGTTCCTTTATTCACTGAATTACCCATTATCCCATTCACTCATTCCATGATTTTCTAATTCATCAATGTTTCGCTAATTGTCTTATTCATATTATTCATTTGATTCATTTTTTCTCTCGCTGTTTCCTTTCTTTATTCACTTGCTAGCTCAACATTCATTGATAGTACAGTTAGTATAGATTGCATAAAGCACAGCTCATAGATAAATATTAAATGATGATAGCTTAAGTCCATTTTTTCGTTCCTTATAACATATATTTAGTGAGTAAATAATCCTAAGAAATTACTTGATTAAAAAATTTACAGATTGGAAAATATACAGATTAGAAACTTTAATTTCTGGCTGTTGTTGGTCAACCATTATTACCAATTTGTATATTTTTGATTCAAATGAAGTTTTTCAATCAGTAACATAAGTTTATGTTTATAAATTTATTACAAAGGGATTTGACATCCTGTGATTTCTAGCAAACCTTTTCTTTTTGTGGAAATTGGAATATGGCTTTCAAATTAATAGTTATTTTTCATTGCAGGTTTTATAATTTTTTTCTACTTTTTCAGACTGAAAACTGCGCAATATGTCTCAACTTGGTGAAATCCTCATGGCAAAAAGGCATTAAATCTCCACCAACTCTGGCTGTATCGTACGACACAAGTCCTCCTAGAACAGGTTTGGAAGGACAATGGATAAGCCTGCGTTGCGAGGTCAGACCTTACGGCCTATTCCTTTATCGAACCTTCATATTTGGCTATGAGAATCAAGGTTGGCAAGCACAACATTCTTACTTCAAGGATCCTCAATGCCTGAATCCAATGTTCACCCTCAGTGCAAAGGGAACTTATTATCCTGGTCCTCCTTCAAGTATCATCGAAGATGCAGTGGAATACGATTTCCACATTAAAGAATCGTTTTTAACTCCTCACGACAAACAGTTTTCAGATAATCTGAATGGTCTCTTGAATTGTGGCTCTGGTACAAAATGGCAAGTTGGTCAAATTGGCAATTTAACAAGCTCTGGTGGTTGTGAAGAATTGGGTATCATTGTTCCATCCGTAGAAGAAGATTTAGTGCGTTTTGAAAAATTGAGTCCTGATTTGGTGTATTTGTATTTAGGTGAGACTCCAGATGGCAAGACAAGACCGACCAGTTTCCAGCCTCCTTTGGTCAGATGTTCATCGCCTGAAAGCAATAGGGAAGAAGATCACCTATTTAATTATAATGAAATTCAGCCGTTACCTCTCATTTCAGGATCATATTCAGCGCGCGTTAGTTACTTAATGTCTTTTCTGTTAGTAACTCTTACATTTATGAAACTATAGCTTTTTTGTGATAGTAAATATTAGCCACTGTTTTAGGGGTGATCATTTCCAGGGATCTCCAAACATGGCTCGCGGATCCGAACTCGTCCTTCAGCATTACCAATCCGGCCCGTGATAGCAGGTATCTGGAATGACAGTTTATTTTGATTGCATTTTAAATTTAGAACGGGAGTAAATTTTATGAAATAATAATCGAAAAATGCAATAATTGATATACCTAATGAAATTGAGCCTTTTAATTGTAATTAATGACATCAAATCTACCTAAAAAGTAAAATAAACGATGTATACTCTCAGGCCAGAGATATCTGTCTTGTTCTAAAACGAAACTTTGCTTGCATCGTAGAACTACTGTTGGTTTGCTGATATGATGGACTAGCTGGTAGAGAAATGAGTCAAAATACTAAAAATACCTCATCAACAGAGAATAGTTAATGATATCAGAACTCTTAAAAAAAGCCTCCAACTCATGAAAAATTAATATTTCTTTTTAAAGTTTCTAAAACTGAGGTAAAGATGACTCCCTTTTATTTAATGAAGGATTTATCTCGTGGCTCTTAGGTTCGGAGTACTAGAGTTTTCAGAAATATTTCTTGTATAAAAAAGAATGAGATATTATGTAAATAATGTTTTACAAAATAGGCACACTTTTTTTAATCATTGTCATTAAAGATCGAAATTGAAGATTTTGATTCTTATACCAAAAATAAACACATTATTTAATGTATGAAGAGCTCGTGCAATGAACTGATACTAAATCAACTCATTTATTACTTTATGGTGTATTTATGTAAATTGCTGAATAAATTTAAGTAATCAGTAATCAATAGTTTATCAGTTGCATTTATGGAAACCCATCTTTACTGCAGATAATGTTAAAACTAGGAATTTGTAAAAATGCATTTTTTTTCTCTCTTTCATAATCATTTATTTTATAAGTACATGTTTCCAATATAAAGAAGGAAAAAATTCTTATATAAGAAAAAAAGGATGAAAGATTTTTGAAAAAATCTGCATTTTACCAATACATGCTTTAAAAATAGTTTGATACTTAAAAAGCATGGATAAGCATGAGAAGTAAGAAGTCTCTTCTATGATTTCGAAAAAGAAAGGAATTGCCAAAGTTGTTGGAAGGAGTGAATGATGATTAATAAATTTTCAGAAAAAAGTAAGATTTTTAAAGTTAAGGTTATTATGAAGTAAAGAATACCAGGATGGAGAGACAAAACCTTTTTTTGAAAAAACTAATCAAAGTAACTCCTGCTTGAGGATATTTTGATCCAGTCTTCGCACTTAAATTATGCTATACTTTAAATTGAACCAGTGTACCCCCTAAGGTACATATTTAGAGTTAATTTAAAAAAAAAATTGAAATTAAATACATAATGTATTTAAAACTCAGATATATTTCTGCAACAAATTATAGCATACTAAGTAAACTTTAAAAAAATTAATTTTGTTAAAAAATTTCACATTTAAATTTATTTATTCAATGAAAGTAGGTTTATGGGTCTAAATTTGTAGCTTAAGATATTTTCGGCACAAATTAATTAGCATTAAGAAGGTTAAACTCTTGTACAATTAAATTGTGTGAAAATCCATTCATTAGATCAAAAATTATTAAGTAGTTCGATTTTTTTTCTGTTTTTCTGCTGCAAAAATGTAGAAGTTAACACACTATAGCATCGTCATAATTAGTAAAAATGTCCTCTTTGTGTACATCATCCTCATCATTATGAGTAGCACAATTGCCCTGGGTGGGCCAAGGCATTTACTTTGACTCCAAGAAACCCTCACGGTGACAATGGTTGACCAGTTCTTAACCTTTAGGATTCCAAAATCTTTCTCAACTGCGTTTGTTCCTCGTAATTTGGATTCTTGTCTCTGTGGCTTTGCCAAAACTAGCTTTTTTATGGTGTGTAAAATCCTTCATTTTAAAAACTTAAACAGCTTAGTTTGATCTATTAAGCTTGATAAATTTTATTATATCTGAGAACTTGAAGCATTTATAAACTTTTGTATTGTATTGTCTTCTCCAACAATAATTTTCTTTTACTCTTCTTGGAATAGTTCTTTCTCCAAATATATCCAAATTGGATTCATCAGATCATCAAAAGTTGATTTTCAAACTTCATAAAGTATACTAAAGAGTCAACAGGGAACTCTTGCTGACAATAACTACTACAAAATATTGAAATAAGCCTAACGAAGGAGTCGGCCAAGGATAACAACATTCTCCTACAAGGGTTGTGATTACGGAACACGAACTGAGCATAATCTGTTTTCTGCCTTGGCATATGGCAATAATTAATTCTTCCAATGATATTTTCAAACCATTCATGTATTAGATTCAAGTTTAGGACAATGCCGAAAATTTAAAAATATGTCGATACTCTAAATAACACAACAAAAATTTACTATTTAACGCTAAAAAATGAACTGATTGAAAAAATGAAAAGGTTAAAGAAGCTATAACAATATAACGAGACATTTGATTTCCCCCCATAATGCGTTTTCATATACTTTAAAATAACAAAAGAAATGAAAACCACGTAGAATAAAGCTATAAGGGAAAGAGTAAGAATTTTTTTTTAAAAGTTAAACATTTTTAGTACCAATAACTCCTGAAAATAAATAGAAAATATAGTTGAAATGGAAACAATTGAGGTTTGAGAAGAAATGAAAATAATTAAGGTTTGAGAATATTTAAAAGGAATGTTAAGTTAGAAGGATAATAGTTTTTTTTCTTTCAATAATTTATTTGAAAAATACTGATTATTTTCTTGGGGTAAGATGGTACTGAAACAAAATATTTATTATTGAAGCATTCTTGTGTATAACTTCAGAAGAGTTTATAAACTAATGTATGCATAATCTTGCAAACGTAAAAAAATATTAATTTTAACTTCATTTCAATAAAATAATATTAAACTATTTTGTCTGTTTTTTCATTTGAATATGTTTCCACTTTCTGACTACCAAAAAGTTCACTTTAGAGAACATTTAAATGGAACTTCATTGATGAAATATATTAACCAGCGAAAAATTCAACAATCAAGTTGTCAATCGTATCCAAACTTTCCGCATGCAGGGAGAATAGTCCCGTAATCCCGTATCTCAACATGATGATAGTTAAGCATATTATTTAAACAATATAGTATTTCGAAAATAAATGAAATATAAATCGAAAAAAGAAAGAAAGAAATCGAAATAATTAGAAAATAAATGAAAAATAAATTATTAAAACTGGATTTTTACTCGAAATCTTTGGTTTAACTGGTTTTACTGTTAGAAAAAAATTTTCTACTATTGAATTTATTTCCACAAATATCGCGAAAAAGGCAAAATGTCAAAATAATAATAAGGGGCTCAAACTTTAGACTTGAGCACCTAAATAATATTTAGGAGCCTTATTTTCGACAATCGACCATTTTTTTTGTGTCTTTGATTGGAGCTTCAATTTTTCAGATACTAAAACTATTCGTCGGTCAAAAATCTCAGTAAAAAGGAAAAAAAAAAAGTTCATACAAAGAAGGAAAAACATTTAATTGTCTACATTTACTAATTACCATATTTAAAATAGATCTATTAAAACTTCTTAAAGGCCTTACCTTTTAAACTTTAGGTACATATGTGATTATATGTTTTATAATTTAGTTTTTGAATAATGAAAGACAGTGCGGTAAAAAAAAGATATCACCCTGCATAACTTTTGATCTATTAATCAGATTTTCACGTACAAGTGATGTCTATTTAAACGTTCCAGGGGTTGACCTCAAATATTTCAATTAAATTATACTAAACATTTATTAAGTTTCGAAGTTAGGCACGTAAAGACCGCCAAATCTGAAGCTGCGATGGCGTTATTACGGAAGTACCGAATTTTTATTCCATGCTTTTCTGAATCATATTACTTCAAACATTAGAATACGCAAGAAGTGTACATAAACACATGTTATACCATTTAATTTTTCAAAAAAGTATTTTGACAAGAATTTTTATCAAAAAATTATGAATTAAAAAACGTAAAATAAGGAATTCGTAGGATAAAAAAATGATTTTAAAAATTCCTCATATTGAAATAAAAACTTTCATATTGCATCTTTTTTTTTTTTTATCTTATAGTTCTTAATCAGACGTAATCATCAAATAAGAAAAAAATTATTTATAAGCAAATTTTTTATTATGAAAATCATAACACTCCCCTGCTTTATAAAATTCGCAGAATTCTAAATGAAATGTTCTTAGTTCGAAAATTTTATTTTCAAATAATATATGCATAGATTATCCCTTCATTACTTTTGGATAACTTACCACACAGCAAAATTTTATAATTGTATGATCTCGATATGAATTTCAATATGTTACTTGAAAACAAAATAGCTGATTTCTAGTTGAAATTATTCTTAAACTAAAAAATACTTACCAAGAAAACGATAAAAATTTATTAATAATCATCACAAATGATACTAATTCAAGTGATTTGGATGATTCTTTATTGTTGTTTTCCGAATTATATAGATACAGAAATATATACTAAGAATATTCGCGATCGCAACGAACTATAGGGGGCGTTGTTGTATGAGACGCATACCTGCGATTTCCATATGAACAGTGATTCAGTTACTCTCTAGAGACGTCTTTAATGTAGCACGTAGCATTGCAACGTTCCTTCTTTATTGTGGCTAATTAAATTTAAAAAAGAAAAATACTTGGTATTCTTTCTTATGCAAACAAAACAAAATGGTATCTCTTTTTATTAGAGAAGGAATATCCAAAACACATCGGAAAAATATTTGTACATTAACAGAAAAAAATATGTATATTCTTACAAGAGTTAAAACCTAATGCCCGAGAAATAGTTTTACTAAATTTAATGATATAATATGAAAGGCCCATATAAACTTTACATTCTATAGTTTTAAGAATCATATTAGTTCAAAAATTAAAATGAACAAAAAGTATACATAAGCCTCATAATTTTATGAAATTTAATTTTGTAAACAAAGTTTTTTGACAACAATTTTTATCAAAAAATTTCAAGTTTCAATAAAAATCATTATTTAGAAACTAAGAAACGTAAAATAAAGAATGCTGACGAAACAAAAAAAAAAAAAAAAACAATTCTTTTTTGTCGCCATTTTTAGTGCTACGAAAATTCGTCTTTGGGATTTGCCAAAAACAAAACAAGATGCAATTTTATTTTTTCAGGAGGGAAATATTTTACCGAAAAAACGAAAATGTACCAATTCCCACAACATGAAACTTTATCTTGGTAAACGTACGTTTTGGAAATGTTATTTCATTTGGAATCTTCTTTATCAGAGTTCATATGGCGATATGATTGTTTTGAATCTATGCTAAACTCTACATCGGCTCACTTTCCACCGAAATCCGATTGACTATTTTGATTTTAAATAAAGTGTTTTATTTTATGAATTGTCGCAAAAATTTTAAGTGTAGATTGGCGGCACTTACCGCCAAATCTGTAGCGGCAGTGGCGTTAATACGTAAGTACCGAATTTTTATTCCATATTTTTCTGAATCATATTACTTCAAACATTGGAATATACAAGAAGTATACATAAACACACAATGTTATACCATTTAATTTTTCAAAAAAAGTGCTTTGACAACAATTTTTATCAAAAAATTATAAACTAAAAAACGGAAAATAAAGAATTCTTCTTAGGATAAAAAAACGATTTTAAGAATTCTTTACATTGAAATAAGAACTTTCCAATTGCTTCTTTTTTTATTATTCTTATACTTCTTAATCAGACGTAAAAAACCATTCTGTTGAGAACTATCATCAAATAGGAAAAAAAAATATTTACAAGCAAATTTTTTATTATAAAAATCATAACACTCACCTGTTTTAAAAATCCGCAGAATTCCAAATGAAATGTTCTTCGTTTGAAAATTTTATTTTCAAATAATATATGCATAGATTATCCCTTCATTACTTTTAGATAACATACCACACATCAAAATTTTATAAATGTAAGATCTCGATATGAATTTGAATATGTAGCTTAAAAACAGAATAGCTGAATTCTAGTTTAAATTATTCCTTCAAAACAAAAAAATAATTACCAAGAAAACGATACAAATTTATTAAAAATCGGCACAAATGAATCTATTTCAAGTAGTTCGGATGATTCTTTATTGTTGTTTTACGAATAATATAGATACAGAAATATATACTATTCTATAAAGAAGAACAATATTCTATAACTATATATTATACAGTTCTGTGCATATTTTAAATTCTTTTTTATTCATTGGAATGACGAAAGCAATGCTGATTTCACCTTAATTTGTAATGAATTGAAGACAGAAAAAATTATTTTACCGTAATACACACAATCTGTAACAGCAAGTGATCATGAAATTGGGAGTTATGTTGTTGGTAATAGAAAGGTAAAAATTATCGAGAAATTGTTCTTCAAATGCTTGGCGTGTTCTGCTTCAATGTTTGACATGTTCTGATTAGTTTTTTCAAGAAGTTCTACCTTTTCCTTAGGGAAATTTTGCTTCTTATTTGCTGCTAATGAAATGGCACCCGTCACTGCCAATGGCTTTGTGGGAACTAATGTCCGATATTTTCAGTCTCCCGCTAGATGGCGTACTCGAGCGTTGCGATCGCGAATTCTATAACTATTACAGTTTTGTAAGTTCTGAATTCAATTTATTCATTGGAATGACGAAAGCAATGTTGACTTCACTTTAATTTGTAATGAATTGAAAACAAAAAATTATTTTACTGTAATACACACATCTGTAACAGCAAGCGATCATGAAATCGGAAGTTATGTTGCTGGTAATAGAAAGGTAAAAATTATTGAGAAATTGTTCTTTAAATGTCTGGCGTGTTCTGCTACAATGTTTGGTTGGCGTGTTCTGGTTAGTTTTTTCAAGTTCTTCTGTATTTTCCTTAGGGAAATTTTGCTTCTTATTTGCTGCTAAAATAAGAAGATGGCGTCCGTCTTTGTCAATGATTATGATAGAACTAATGCCCGATATTTTCAGGCTCCCGCTAGAGGGCGCACTCAAACGTTGTGATCGCGAATTGCATGTCTTAGGATCATCCTCGTCCTCGAAGTAAATAAAGTGCCTATCTATTTTCAGATAAAGCTAGTGCGTAAGAATATCTGTACGAGTCACTCTCTGTACGAGTCATCGCATTGACTTGCGATTGTATGCAGCGAGAATGCTACAAAAATTATGTAAATGACTTCAGATGTCCTTATTTGATGAGGCTGTTAGGTTATTGTCTCTAAGAGACTTGAAACGGGCAAAGAGAAGTAGTCAAAAGCGTTTTATTTAAACAAAAACAAATATTAAACATGTCGGCTGTGTATGCCGCTGGGAAAACTTTAAAAACTTCTGTTACGAAGCAGCGGATCAAAAATATTTTTCTAAATTTTACACGAGCTAAAGAATCAAGGTTTTTGGGTTACTATAAACATAAAATTTCTACTCCAGTTTTTAGAGAACGAGAGGCTCATTATCGTGAGACTGTCTTAAAACCATTAGAAGAGATACCTTCTTTAAGTCAAAGACTAGCTGGTGAGTTTATAGTAATATTTATGCCATTGACTCTCAATGGCTTATAGTTTATCTCTACCTATATGAGATCTTTATCTGTGCCGCCCTGGTAGTTGGTTTCATTACATTCGACTGAGTGAATAGTTTCAATTAAGATTGCCGAGGTAGCAATGAGTTAGTTGAGATTGAAGATGAATAAACATGAGTAATTAGTAAGCTATGACTTAGACATCCGCAGCTTCAGACGGGTTAATACCCAGGTACTTTTCTGATTTGGTATAAAATAAGAACAATAATTTAAAGAAAAGTTATTTGTAGAAATTAATCTCAATAAAGTATACAAACTTTATTTGAAACTCTTTTGAGAAAAAAAATGCAATCGTCAGCCTGAATTTGATGAACATGAAGTCGAATGTATCTTTAATTGCATGTGTTTGGATATTTTTAATTGCATTTGTTGCATCTTTGAAAAAGAGGGCAATGTACTAATTGTTGTGGTCATTTTGCAAGTCTTATTCCATCATATTTATGAACCAAGAGCCCCAAAAATTCTATGTTTTTCAAAATCTACTTTTCTGATGTTGGTAGCTAATAATTGGACCACTGTAGGTATAGGATTTTTAATGTTCTTAGGACAAGTTTTGATTCAGGACCTTCAATTAGCTTTAAAGCCTGAAAGGCACCTTAAACCTTTCCAATTATGTGCATTTCACTTTAATTTATTTATAAGTGTCTGAGCAAGGTTCATTATTTTATTGACAATTGGGATTGATTTTCTAAAAAGAGTGATGTTAAAATTTTAGATTTTTCTTTTATTAGATCTTCTGATAATTAATGTCACAGATTTGGTGGCAAAAGTATTCTGTCATGCAGACCATTCTTTTCTTAGTGGGAATGATGCATTTATTTTTTAAACAGCTATATTTGGGCATAGTGATCTATTTAAGATGACTGTGTTGTCAACGTAAAATAATGTTAGTTTCTTTGAGTTTAATAAAATCAGCACAGTAAATTAAAATTAAAAGTGACCTTAGGATGGACCCTTAGGGTACTCCTATACTAATTTTCCTTTTAGTTTAATTGTCATAATTTAATTTAAGTATGAATGCCCCATTTGTTAAATTGCTATTCAGCAGCTGAATTAAGTCATTATGGATTTTATTCATGGTTAATTTATATACTTTGGTCCTTGTGCCAAATGAAGTCAAAATCTTTAGTTATGTCCAGCATCAGGAGTACATTTGATAATTTTTTTTATAGGAGCCTTGAGTGATGTTTTCAATTATTCTAACAAGTTGTTTGGCGGTAGAAAGGTTTTCGCAAAACCTTATTGTTCATATGAAAGTCAAAAGTTGGTTTAAGTCTTTTCGGTATAATTTGTCCAAATAATTTTTATGGAGCAGAAAAGAGGATTATCTGACCATAGTTTTAAAGGTATACACAATTTTACTTTTTTAGGAAGAGTAGAACTTGGGCATTTTTTTATTGTTGCGGAAAGTAATGGATTTTTATGCAAGAGTTTATGATGTTCTTAATTTGATCAAATATTTAGTTGGTTGTCTTTTTAGCTTGTAACTAGGGATTCTGACCAGTCCAGGTGGCTATCAAAGAGTTTTAATAGAATATAACTATTTAAACTATGCTCTCTAATGAGCATTAGAGCTTTGAGAGTTTTGCTCATTTAATCACTTAATGCTATTAAATTTGCTATTGGTGTTAGTAACATTAATGTTTCCTCTTGCTTATCATTAAAGCTTAATAGAATTCTGCTTAAAGAAAATTATTTGAATAAGTTATTACTCCTAGTAATTCATTATAAGCTTCTGAGGTAAGTTAGTGCATTTATAGTGATGTTCCGCATTGTATGCTTTTCTTCTTTGTCAGTATGCTGGTTCCTTGCATCTTTCAGGGAAATTTTTATCTATTAAAAGGGTTAACTGATGTTGGGTGGACCCAACTAACAACGTTGGGTCCTACTGGGCTCCTAGACAGTTTCGATTTCCATCCCAGTTAGTGCTGCAAGGGTAGCAGGTAGTCCTGCATTCTATGGTGAATCCTTGACACCATTCCTCATTTACTGGTCAAAGAGCCCTAATAAAAGTTGGGGTGTATGGCTAGTCTCAGAAGTAAAAGATCTGCAGGCAGGATGCCCTATCGCTCAGAGGACTGTGACCCGCAGCACTAAGACTTATCTGCACCTGCAGAGTGTTTGAGAAGTTCCTTCTTGTCCCTGAAGATCAGGCTCCACTAAGTTTTAATCAGTAGTCTCTCTTATATTTGGCTATTTTAAAACAAATTAATGCATGGAATAGTAAACCAATCGGATATTGGTAAAAATATTGTAGTAACCCAAAAGTGACGTCATTAAAACTAGGATAGCAAAGCATATCAAGGTCTTTAGTAAGAGGGTTTCAGCAAAACTAAATGAAAATTATCATTAAACCAAAGGATCACTGATTCTACACCTTAACCTCTAAAGACATTACTTAACCATTATTATATAATGAATGAATAATGAATGTTTATTTAAATATTTTATATGAATAATTTTACATGAATAATTTTACTTTTCAGGGGTGAGTGTATTCTGGGTTTTTCGTATCATCCTTCTGGATCTAAAAACTATGAGCGGGGATTTTTTCTCGAATATTGCGGAAGTCCTCATATATCAAGACCATTGGTTCGCATACTTCCGGGAATCAAAAGCTTAAAATCTAATAAAATTTTCAGAGTTCCAGATTCTAAAATTTAAATTTTGAATCTTTGGGAAAATCACATCTGACATTTAAATACATGTGATTCTTCCGCCAACTAGTGGAAATCCACCAATTTGATTAAATTGTTCAGGCAAATTTTCGTTATATGTTGCAATTCGTATTAACGCAATATAAGAATTGTTCATATCTACGAGATTTAAAAACCCAATGTTGGAATTTGTATTTATGCATTTTAAAAAACATTATCATGCTTCGTATTCATGCATTTTTAAATTCCACCCTCACTAATTATATTCTCGCAAGTTTAAAATCCAATGTAGCGTTTCGTAATAAAGCATTTTTAAAAATCCTATATTGTGATTCGTATTTATGCATTTGTAATATCTAACATTGATTTTCGTATTTATATGTGATTTAAAACCTAACCAATTATTAGCATGCGTCAAATTCATTCATTGTGATTTACCTTCATGTGATTTAAAAAATCCAATATCATGATTCATGTTCACATAATTTTAATATCTAATATTGTGATTCTTGTAAAAACTAAATTTTTTCTTAAACTACACTATAAATAAAGGTTTGATATTTTTCATTGATAGGCAATTTAATTTTAAACCTTCATTCAAAAAATCATATTCAGTGTTTTCACTACAGCGCGAGAATGCGAGAATCTCTCATATTTTTTTATATTCTCGCATTAAAAAATTATTACCGCGAGAAATTCGCGCATTCTATAAACCTATTTCAAAATTCGCGAATTTCTCGCATTTTGAAAAAAATTTCTCATTTGCGCCATTTAGAATAAAATCCGTTTCACTTTTCTTCCTGGATCTTTTATTATTTTCAACATCTGCCCCATTATCTAGCTTCCCTATTTACCAGTATTGTTCAGAACCTTTAAGAACAACAGAACACCATCCTTCCGAACCACGGAACCTCTTTCAGAACGCATTTCTCTGCAACCACGTGTTTACCGTAGGTAAGGTTTCTTCATGTAAGACGTTCAAATTTTTTGCTCGTTAATGTAAGATGGACAAATACCTTGTAAAGCCAATATCTTCTACTCCGAAACGGACAAATGAAAATGAAACAAATGTGGGTAGAAACGATCAAAACGAAACAAATACGCATTTGAGCAACCTAATGAGAATAGCTGATGAAAAAGTAGATGTAGAACATTTTCCATATGATGATGCAGCAAAAATATTCAATGCTTTAAAAATTAGAAGATGTTAAAAATGCATCATAATTAAAGAAATTTTATTTTTTTTCAAGTCTCTTTACGTGTTTTTTTTTTTATTTTTTGAAATCTCACTTAACTTTTTGAAATCTCACCCTGTTTTTGAGAAAGGGTGAGAAATTCTCACCCATTTTTTTTCTGAGATGAAAACACTGATATTAAATATGAAACATGTATGATATATAAATTGATATTAATTTTTTGCTCATAAAATTTTCAGTGTTTTTCACTTTGTGTCACAATTTCTGACTCTTCTAGTCAGTTTCAAGTAGTAAATATTTATAATAATTTGTATTTTATAGAAATTAATGCACCTGATCCTGTTTTGGACAAGAAAGTTGATATTGGTTTTCCAAAAGAAAAGCATAGAAAGGTGACAATCAAGGATAGATTAACAAGAAGAAAAAATATAGCTGAACTTTCAGGTGAGAATTCAGCAAAATAAGTTCTCAATTAGTCTGATATATTATTAAGAGGTTTAGCTGGTGTGTGGGAACATTCCAGTATCCATACTATTGCCAAAATTTAGAGGTAATGAGACAGTGGCAAACGAGAAAGTAGAAGAAGAAAAGAAGAAGAAAAATCATCACAAAAGGGAACTAACTCGAATGGTATAACTCATAGCCATCCCTAGGTAAATCCCTACAATTATTTTTTCTATTCATGAGTTTTGTACTTGGCGATGATAATTGGCAGGTACAAATACAGAAATGTCTCCTGGTAGGCACAGATCTGTTATTAGACGTGAAATATATATATGGACACAGAAATTTTGATTTCAATGTACTGGATGTATTTTAAAAAAATATTATAATCATTAATTTCCCCCTAAAACATTTCTTAACTTGAAGATTTCAGTGTACTGGATTTTGTTTGAAAATTGTTTAATGATTAGTTGCTTTTATGAATGATTTATTCAAAGAGCTAAACTTCGCTTGATATCATTTAACCAATTTAATTACCGTTTATCCCAGTGTATTAGTTCACTTTTCAAACCCCCAAAATACATGAAAATTAGTGGGTCGACTTATACATTGGTAATAAAGTTATACATTCGTTGATTGGGAGATATCAATACATTATAAACAAAGAGATTATGAATAACTCTCTATCAATTTACCTCTTTCTTAAATATTATACACACTAAAAAAATGAAGTATATTTCTTGTAGTTTAGCTGAATAGTCCTTCATCACATTTTCTGTACAGATAAAGGTTTATTTATTTATTTTTAAACTATACTTTAAATTAAGTTTATAAAAGATATTATGAATAAGATAATTAATATTTATTTAGGATCATTTAAAAAAAATGACACAATTAAGATTTTTGAAACATACCGTGAAGTAAGAGCATCATCTGTGCTGGATTCAATAATGTTAGCTGTGTCTTCATATAGATCCCACTCTACAACAAATTCTACAATACTTACTTCATCCTCATCTTCTGAGTTTCACAGAAAATAGTTTTGACCCCCACCCAAAGAATTGAAATTCCACATTTTAAAAGATTTTACTGTATAAATTTCCAATAACAATACAATATAAATTTCCTTTTTTTTTCTTTCAGCGATTGACTAATGCACCCAACATGCCAGAAATTTCCCATCTTGTAATAAAAAAGAGTAAATTTATGTTACTGGTCGACATATAACTGGGATATACAGTTATTGATTTTAATAGAAACAAATATGGATTTTACAGAAATAAAATTATTTTTTTAAAGTCTTATTTCATTGATACTGATGATTTTACACAGGGAAATATTACCCAAGTTATTATTTGATGTTCAAAATTGACTAATAAGGGGAAAAAAATGTGTGATGTTTGTAGATAAAAGTGCCTTGAAACTTTTTAATTATAATTTATTATTTTTTTTATGCAAAGTAATTAGCAGTTTCTATTATTTCCATTTAGTTTTATGTTTATTTTATTTAGGTTCAAGAACCATTAAAGCTTATTAAATATTGAGTTTGTATACATAAATGTAGCTAAACTTATACTGCCAAATTAACTATAGAATAATTGATTTTTTTTATGTTTCTTGATATAAATTAATTTATTTTTCTTTTAAAATGAATAAAATTAATTTTGCTTCTCAGAAAGTTGAAAACCTCTTATAATTCAATTTATTTAAAGAAAAATTACTAAGAAAATTTTCAAATGTTTCTTTATTTTAAAAAAGCTATAGACATGTGTTTTTAATTTTTTAGACCAAATTGATATTTTTCATTTCATACTAAAAACAATTAAGTTATAATCAATTTATCGAAACATTGAATTTTTTCTGCCAAAAGTTAAAAAATTTTTCTACAATCTTTTTCCAAAAAGAAATTGGTAAAAATCATTATTATGAAGGAAAAATCACTATTGTGATAAACCTCTTTGTGTGTAATCCTAGAATTTCCCAATAATTTTTTTTAATTTTCTGTCCTTTTTTGTGTGTAAAACTTAGTTATGAACGCCATTGAATTTCCTTGCCTTGATTATGTGATATCACACTTGTCTCATCATAGCCAGTTCTGGCTCTTGTGTCTTCAAACTTTGCCTTTAATTATTTATTTATCTTATTTTTTACCAACTTGCCTTTCCAAACATCACAATTATTTGTTGAGAAAAGGGTATAAGGAAGGTGAAATTAGTTTCAATATTGGTAAATAAAATAAGTTTTTTTTTTCAATTAAATATTTTTCTTTAATTAAAAATATAATTCTGTTTACTTTTGTCTCTTATCTATATTAAAGTTTTTCATTATAAAAATGTTTTAATTTAGCTATTTTTTATTATTAGATGAAATAGATTTAGATCAAATTCAAAATGATTGGATGATGTTTGATGGACCCACTCATTTACAGAATATTGCAGATCATTATGGCATTTTTAAACATCTCTATGACCATGGATTTTTTACACCATGCTTGCCTTTGCGTGTATCATATGATTATGATGAAGATAGTGTCAGCCCTGTCTACATGGGGAATATTTTGCAGGCTTCAGATGTATGTAAAAACATCTATTATTTCCTTCATTGTTTTAGTTTTTTTATTGTATAAAGTACAAGTATTTGGAATTATAAGATTGGTCAATTGTTTAATATAGTGTACTACTATGTTGAGTTAGATATTTTTTTTGGAAAAAAAAGTATTATTTTAATTAAACATGTTATGCTTTTATTCCAACTCTAATAAAAGCATTACAACTGTTTTAATTTCCAACTGTGTATTTTTAAACGGCTTGTTATACATTTGTTTATTACATTTGATGAACTAATGAAATTAAGAAAACTTTAACTATTTGAAATTAAAATAGAGAAAAAATTTCTAAGTATAAAATATCTTTTGTATCTGAATTCTTCTATATTTTTCAAATGGATTTTCTCCCATATTTTATAAACCAATACATGAAAGTTATTGAGAAGTTTTTCATGGTGCTAATTATTTGTCATTATGGTTAATAATAGTCAAATAATTTCTTTGTTTTTTTATTTGTTATTGAAACATTTTACAGAAAAAATTGCTTATTTTATTGTTTTAAGTACTAGTAATTTTTTATGTATATAAGTTATAAATACCTCTTGTGTCATTTAAAAGAATTCAGAAGACTTATAATCACAATTATCTTTTGCATTAGTTTTTAGTGACAAAATTTTATTTCAGTTATAAGTGTTTCTTATGTATTACTTTATCATAGTCCAGAAGATTTATGGTCACATAAATCCTCTGGATTACCTTTAAGTGAAATAATTTAATTTGTTTCTTCTTTTACATTTAATGGATTGAATAAAACTTTAAAAAATTTAATTTATATTTTAGGTTGTAACCGTCCCTCATGTTTCATTCAAAAGTAATCCTGAAGATTTATGGTCACTTGTTCTTACTAATCTTGATGGTCATTTGCTTGACCCAAACTCTGAATATTTACATTGGTTCATGTTAGTATTTTATTTTTTTCCTATCTAGTAACAAAATTATTCATTGAAGTAAAATAATTGAATATATATATATATTTTAAAAGATATTCATTTTATAATTTCTTTGCCTTGTTATATCACTGTCGTTCAAGCCACTATTACAATGTCAACATTCTCAACATCAACACACATAGCACGGTTCTTGAAATAAAAAAATTGCTAAAAATTTATAAAAACATTTTAAAATTAATGAATAATAAAAACATGTTGAATTCAGATAATGCTTGGTGAATTCAGTTGCACCCAGCAACAAACCATCTGCATGGTGTTTTCGTTCTGACTGCAGAGTTCCGACTCCCAAGTTAGACTGTTGATAACCTGTCTAGCACATTCCGTATCCTTCGGCATTCGTTGTATCAGTTCGCATCTTCTTGTGTTACTTCACATTTGCGAAGCATCACTTATCACCTCTTGTATTCATTTGCCTAATGATGCATCACTCAGTGCATTTGTATTCCTTGGCTTTATTTAACTTTATCAGTAGTACTGTTATAGCATAGTTTATTCTAATATTTTTTTTTATGTTAAACTTTTTATCAAAGCATTATTTTAAAATTAATAAGATTAAATAAATGGCCAAATGTTACATATATATATATATATATATATATATATATATTAAATTACTTCATTTATGTTCAATCACCATTTCATAATATTTAAATGTTTATTGTTTTTAGAATTACTGTTTTCATTTTCAAGTTTTTTTTAAAAGCTTTTTCTTCCTATTTATTTTATATTAAGTAAGATTATAAGAAAAGAGAGAAAAAAATAGTATTTTAGTATGCTTTGAAGAATATCTGTTCTTATTTTTTTTTTTTTTTTTTNTTTTTTTTTTTTTTTTTTTTTTTTTTTTTTTTTTTTTTTTTTTTTTTTTTTTTTTTTTGCACTACTGTATGAGATCATTAATATAGTGAGATGTTTTGTTTATTACTTTTTTATAGACTTAAAATTGTCTTCTTATCTTAGTGTCCTTTATCTTTTTTTATCTTATTTTTTACTCTAAATTGCACTTCTCTATTGTAAATTGCTTTCACAAAAAACTTCATTCCATACAAGAATACAAATAATAATAATAATAATAATTGGCTCATAAGAACAGTTATGTTTTGCATAAGTATGCAGAATACAAATTATTGATTGGATATATTTCATAATATCCGAAAATTTATTTATGTATGAACTTGTGGTAGGATTAATTTTTTATTGTTATTTTCCAGAGGAAATGTTAAAGGTGGTGATCTAAAGTCAGGTGAAACTGTGTGTGATTATTTAAGACCTTTTCCAATGAGAGGGACTGGATATCACCGATTAGTCTTTGTTTTGTACAAACAAAATAAAGTAATTGATTTTTCACAATTGAAAAGAGCATCTCCATGGTAAGTTCATAAAATATACTTATGCACTTTATTTCCTTAGTCACATAGACAGTGGGGTGGGTAGAGTATTTGTTTAAAACTTTGACCTTAATTTGATCCATAAGATACATATGTTGGCTGTATGTTTGCACCTTCACTCATCCTGTCAGTTTTTCAGAGTGGATTTAAAATCCACTCTAATGTAATGTCTTAGGTAGTTTCAAAGCTAGGATGTGCATGGGTATTTAAGAAGTGTGGTGAGGAGGTCAGGAAATAACTACCACCATCTATCTTTTGCTCTAAACTGTGATAATGTGTTGTTCATATGCGGCAGTATTGTTATTAAATCATAACATAATGAGGATAATTTCCAGACTTTCCATAATCGATCATCAATATGGATTTATTGTAACATAAAATTAAACAAGGCATCATTCTTTTTGAGTTTGTAAAAGAAATGAAAATTACAATGTTCACATTTGTAGTTTATATTTTTGTAATTGTTGTCTAATTCTTATGAATTATCTTAAATTGCAAGTGAATTAAAAGTCATAAGAAGTTGATGTTTCAATAAATGTTTTAAAATAGATGCTTTGTTATTATATATAACTATCTTTTAACTGTTTAAAAACAATTTTACTACTGAAGGAAGAAATCTTTCATGTTTTATATTTTTTGCATTTTCTATTTTATTAGTTAAAGGAATTGTTCTCTTTTATCAATAAAACTAATAGTTTACTCTTTTTTTTATTACTATTATGTGTTTTTGATAATAAATAAAATGTTTATAAAAACTTATTGTTTATAAAAGATTAAATTAATTGAAAAAAAGTGTCCATGTTTTTTGTATTTGAGTATTCTTCATTGATTTAATCTTCAGCTCTAGTTAGCTCAGTTTAGACAGTTTAAACATACTCAGTTAACTCTTTAGCTCAGTTTAAACATATTATTTTAAAAATTAACTAATTACCATGTTTATAGGTTTTCTTTACAAAAAATTTTGTGTTAACATAGTTTATATTTTTAAAAAAATTTATGAAGATTTATACTTGGTTATAGCAATTTTTCATTTTAAAACCATTTCTTATAGTTTTAATTGTTTATTTAAATTTCCTCAGTGTTGTTTTTGACTTTAATTAACAAATATATTTCTTATTCAAATTTCTCATTACCTCATATTTATCTTTAATCTTCCCATTTAGTTTAAATCTGGAAGAAAGAACGTTTAAAACATTTGATTTTTACAAGGAACATCAGGATTTTTTAACTCCAGCTGGGTTGGCTTTTTATCAATGTACATGGGATGAATCTTTGACTGATTTCTTTCATAATGTTCTTAGTAAGTATAAATAAAGTATGTTTTGAGTGGTAAATATATGCTATTTTTAAATATTTAAAGCAACATTTATTATTGTTAGATTTATATGCTCTACTGTTTTTAATTATAAACTCTGTTATCTGAAAATACTTATGTCATTAATCTTAAGAATAATTTGTCCTTAGAATAATTTTCGCACAATTTTTATTTACTTAATAATTATTACTTCCATAATATTACTGTTTAAAAATTATTAAAAAAAGATTTAAAGTTATCATGATTATCACTAAAAAAAAATGTTTCTGAGAAAGTTCATGGTGATTCCTATATTGTAAGACTAAAATAGGAGGCTGCAAATTTTATCTTGAACTGTTCCTTTTTCATTTGTAATAGTGTTTGATTCAAAATTTCAAAGCTTTTTGTTTCTTGATAATTTGTTGATAATCATCAAATATAATATTTATAATAACATTAGGAATAACTTCCTGGGTAATGTTTTGGTAAATATACACTGGTTATCATAAATTAAGGAAAAATCACAAAAATAGCGATAACTCTTTCAAAAGTAAGCCAAACCGTGCAAAATTTGCATATGTTGTCCACTAAGAGTAGCTGAGTAAAATTGCAATATGCAAATTAGTGGCGCTGCACTCGGCTTACGTCATCTGCCTGGAGCATAAAAGTCCAAGTTTGAGAGAAAGCACACAAATTTTACTGTGATTGCGACATTGAAAATCTGAGATAGCCAATTCGTAATAATGACCTCTAGGCATCATTTGCCTGAAGAACTACGATGGAGAGCCATCGGGAGACTAGAGGCAGGGCAGAGTCAATCAGAAGTGGCCAGATGGCTAAATGTGAGTCCATCTGTGGTTCATAGACTTTGGAGGCAATTTCAAACCACAGATTCGGCATCTAGGAGGTTCAGTCAAGGACGGCCAACTGTTACGACCAGTGCCGATGACCGATATTTGACATTAAGTGCACGCAGGAATAGAACCGCTACTCCGACACATCTTAGATCCTCTCTTGCTGCAGCCACCGGAAGGTTGGTGTCAACGTCAACTGTGCGCAGAAGGCTCCACGAAGGTGGTCTGTATGCGAGACGACCAGCCATTTGCGTGCCGCTCACATCACGCCATAGGAGAGACCGTTTGCAGTGGGCCCGACAACATGTCCACTGGACGTCAGATCAATGGAGGCCTGTTCTCTTTACGGATGAGTCCAGGTTTAGTCTAGAAAGTGACAGTAGACGTTATTTGATATGGAGAGAACCTGGGACCCGTTATCATCCATCAAACATCCGTGAAAGAGATGCATACGGAAGAGGCAGTGTCTGTGTTTGGGGAGGCATATCCTTAGGAGGGCGCACATACCTCCATGTCTTTCCAAGGGGAACCGTGAATGCTCAGGTTTATCGAGACAACATCCTTGATGCTTATGTGCGCCCATATGCCGGGGCAATTGGTGATTGCTTCCTGTTACAGGACGATAATGCAAGACCACACAGAGCTCGCATTGTTGATGATTATCTTCAACAGGAAACAATTACTCGCATGGAGTGGCCAGCTCGATCCCCGGACTTGAATCCTATCGAGCACGTTTGGGATGCTCTAGGGAGGCGTGTATCTGCCATCAATCCGCCCCCTCAGACCCTTGCCACGCTTGCAACTGCTTTACAAGAGCAATGGCTCTCACTTCCTATTGAACTGATAGACCGCATAATTGAAAGCATCACACATCGCTGTTTGTGCTGTATTGCTTCTAGAGGCAATCATATTCCATATTAAAGGTACTTTTTCTATTGCAAACCGATACTTCCAATTTGTTTATTTTATACATGTGCTAATTTCTATACTACTATTAATGTCTGATAATTTCTTTTTATGTTGTTTAATACCTTACTATGTGTTGTATATTGTGGGTAAGTTTCATAAAATTCCATGTGTAATTTCTTGAGTTATCGCGATTTTTGTGAATTTTCCTTAATTTATGATAACCAGTGTATTAGGAAGCTGTTTATGAAACATTCTTTTCTGCTCAAACATTGCTTGAAGTGAATTAATATTGTTTTCTTACAGTTCTTAATAGGATGTTTTTAATTGCAGAGATTTTATTATTTTTAAAATATTACTTGACATGTTTTTCCACAGCTTAGGAAGTAGTTTTTAGAGTTTAATTTTTCAATTAATATCTTAACTTTGATACTAGTTGATGAATTCAGATTTTCAAATGCAATGAACTCCAATTACCTGACCTCCTTTTATCCAAATACTTTTGCAATGCTCACCCATATTCAGTTTTTTGGTTTTTCTTTTTTTTTTTCTTCTTCTTCTCATTTCCCGATATATGCTGCCATTTTTAATGATGCAAAATTTCCCCCCAAGTTCATTAGGGATTGTAAATAATATACAAGTTATCGCACTTTAGTTAATAATGCAAGAAGGAAACCCCTTTCATCATCTAAAAGTTTACTATCAACATATTTGTTAGTATCACACCTTGCGTCGGTAATGTAGTGCTAAATACTTTTATACTTTGATATGAAGTCACTTTAGGCTAGGAGGGTGGTAAACACTTTTTAAGTCAACCCATAAAATAATCTACTTGTGTTGCATAGCACAGAGAGGGCACCGGGAGAAATCAGACAATTTTCTAATAAAAATGCAAATTCATAAATTCGCATTTATTCATTTTTTGTATATTCAATAAATTTAAACATCTATGAATACAAGAACTTGACTATTTAAGAACGAAGTTTGATTTAAAAAATGAAATGGTTAAAGTTTAGGAATGCCGTGCCAGCTCCAAAAAAATTACTGGGGTGTCTACATGGGACATGATAAAATAAATTCATCTTCTTGTTATGATAAGCAAATTTTAAACTGCATTATTAGCTTTATGATTAAAGCATTTACTTTATGGATTTAGAAATCATCTCTGTATTTGACAATTTACTGTAAAAGACAAAAAAGATGTCTGCAAATATAACATTCAATGACACATTTGTCAAAGAAATTAAGATATCTGATCAAAAAAGAAAAATTAATTTTGTATTAAATATTCAGTAATCTCAATTTTCTGAGATGCAGATAAATTATAAAAATTGCATACTTCTTTAATTAAAAATTTAGGTTGTGTGAGGTAGGATACCCAATTATTTTTGAATCATGAAGTTTCTATTGTAATATTAAAAGCGTTCTGAAAATGTTTATATTTTTGCACATAGTATTCCATCCATAATTGATATTTGATCGTACTTTCTTTTTTATTTTTTATAGACATGCAAGAGCCTGTTTTTGAATACATTGAGAAACCTATGTATTACAAACCTCAAGTTCAATTTCCTCATATGGAATATTTCAATTTGTAAGTTAAAAAAAAAGAAATTTGGTGCATCTATTTAATTTTTGTACCAAAATTTAAAGAATATACTTTATAAATTTCATTGTGTTCCCCCCATAATTTATTATTTAGTTTGTTTATGAAAATTAATCAAATTCAAATCAATGAGTGTGACTACTAATTTTATAATGCATGAATTTTTCTTCTATATTTTCCTTATTTCCATATTTGAATCATCCCAAACAGCTCATTTTTTTCCCACCTAAGTAATATTTTTGTTTTATTATATGAGTGAATGGTGTTGTTTGAATTTTATGGCAAAATGAGTCTTTCGTAGATTTAAAACAAATGGGCCACATTTAAATTAAACTGATGAAGAAAATTATGGGAATTAAATGAAAATTTTTGCATACAATTTCTTTTAAAATTTAGTTGTAACTTGTGATTGTTATTCTTAGAGTATTATTCCAATTTTGAAGTTATTGTTTAATATATTATTTTTATATTACACTTAAAGAGCTTTCATAACCTTCAACTTCCTGCATTTCAAACATACTAAAGTGAGTTATTGGTGGCACAAATTCTACTTGTAGTTATTTAATGAGGTATACAATTACCAACGTCATACATCACTTTTACAAGGTGATATACATAGTACGAAAATGTTTGCGAGTAGTGACCAATTTTTCTGAATAGGATTTGCTTCACAGAGGTAGTAACTATTACGATTTATGCATTATCTATAATTATTATGATTTCTTAGTCAAGATTAGTCTTACAGTTTAGTAATAAAAATTAGATTTTTTGAGAATTCTTGTAATAATCTATAAAAGATATTTTTTTTCCTTAACTAACCAGAGTTGTGAGATTATGTTGCTTACAGGGATTTCTTGAAAAAAAGTGATTTTCTAGTGTTAATATTTTATTAATAGTAGATTTATGCATATTATTATTAGATATATAGCTATAAAAATTAGGTAGTAAAAACACATGGGAATAGCGCTAAAATGAGTTTTGTCTATGTTATACATATTATTGTATCGCTGATTACCAATAACCAGTTTAAAAAGTTGGCACCTCTACTTATAATATGAAAGGGAAATAGAAGTTTTTTTTTTCATTGAATTATTTTTTACTTTGATTTGATTAATTATTTTTTGAAATTATAATAATTATCTTTTCTTCATTCATGTAATATAGTGAAGTAATTTATGTTAAACTCATTAGGTAATTTATTTAGAAGGTATGAGTAATGCCTGTTATTGGCAATAACCAAAAACATTGTCTTATTTTTTAAAAAATTAATTAGCAAATACTTATTTAAATATTAAAAAAATAGTGTTTATTTTATTCTTAATTTGTTTAAACTATATATACTTTTGAAATGATTTGTGTATGTTTAAAAACCATTTGTTCTTATAAAAAAAACTTGTTAAGAAGATATAGTTTTTCTTCACACCAATGACTTTTAAACATACACAATGATTTGTGTATGTTTAAAAGTCATAAAAAAACTTGTTAAAACGATATAGTTTTTCTTCACACCAATGACTTTTAAACATACACAATGATTTGTGTATGTTTAAAAGCCATAAAAAAAACTTGTTAAAAAGATATAGTTGTCTTTCCCACAGCCTAGTTAATAATTTCATTTAATTATTGCAGATACCTGGACAGATACAGAGACCCCAAAGAAGTGAAGAAAGAAGTACTTCTAAAGCGTCTGAAAACAGTTGATCCATTCAAAGAAGAACCTCCTATGCCAAAATACCCATGTCTTCATAAACCAGACAACTATCGCTTTAGCTGGCAGAGGTTGGATATTTTGAAAGAAAGATTAAGACAAGGGAAATATCGAGACTTAAGGCCTCATTCAGTTTATCCTCAGGAGGATGATAACCATAAAAAAAACTATAAAACCTGATTTATGTAAATAGTCACTGTTAATAAAAAATTACGCTTGTGTAATGTGCTTTACAAAATGTTATAATTTTTTGTGAATTGTCTATTAAAATGGAATTATAGGTATTATGTTTATTTTTTCTTAGTGGGCCACAGAGTACAACCCTTAAAATTTATGCATGTAATATGATGTATTGAACAGTTTAAGTTTAAACGATCTTTAAAAATTATTTATATTTTCAACTTACAAACCACTATTATTATTTTTAAATTTATAAAATAATTGAGATTTGAGCTTAAAAATTTTTTTTTTAAGTTCTAAGATTATTCAAAATTTTTATACAAACTGAAAAAGCAAAATTATCAAATTTAATTTTTAGACAAAGTTAAAGTAGTATTAATGTTTGTAGTTGACATTCTGAATTTTATTTTTCTTCCTTATCTTTCCCTTAAACTATATTAAACTGTTAGGTTAATAGAAATAAAAAAAATAGTTAATCGAAATCTACCTTTGTAATAATTGTATAATGTTTTTCCTGCTTAAGTCTAAGTTAATCATATTTATATTATTATTATTAAATTTTTTATTTTATTTATTATTTTTCTGCTTAATGCCATGGAGACAAAGCTGTTAAATAGGAAAAATATACATAAAAGTATGAGAGGATTAAGAAGAGATATTGTTTTGCCCTAATTATGGTAAACTTTGAAAATTACTATGGAAACCTTCAAAAGTTACAGTGGTTAACATTTTTTAGAGAAAGTTAAAAATTCGCCCCTACAAATCAGAATTATGTTACATTCACTGCTTTATATATTTGTTAATAAAGGTGTTTTAAAATAAATACCCAGTGTTTAGATTTATTTCTATACAACCTAAATGATGTAATGTTGGAAGTATTTTAAACAAACATTTATCAATTTGCTTTTTAAATCTAATACAGGGATGCTACGCCTGCGCCATTTGCGACAAACTGAGACAAAACGGCATAACTGCGCCATTTTGCGACATTCAGCTCAGTTTCTGCCAAAGCTGCGCCATTCTGAGACAAAACGTCCAAAATTTGGCAAACCTGAATTCAGTTTCAAATATTAATCCGCATTGCCGTGAGTCATTGGAGATCATTTTGCCGTTCACGTCTCCAAGGGATGAAAGACTTCCACGAAAAACGGAAATCCGCTTTTTTCTCCCAATTTTTAAAATTTTCGACCATGTTCCAAAAACTAAAATTTTTAGGGAGTCCAATTAGAGAAACCCAAGCCGCCAAAACGATAGTCGGATTCCCGCGACTTCCGCTGTAGAGTGGAAAGGAGTCTTAAGTGTTTCGTTTCGACCACCGATATATGATTTTCGGAATTTTAAATATTAGGAATTGCGCTGGAATATGCTAAAATCGCGATTTTTAATCAGACGATTTTAATATCAATCATCGATTTTCGTATTTAACTTATTTAAAACTTATGTGTTGCGACTTTTTTTACGCTGTTTAAAAATCCTACTAGCAATTCCTATTCACTCAATTTAAAAATTCAATATCGCGATCTGTATTCTCGCGAGTTTAAAATCCAACGTCGCGATTCGCATTCACGCATTTTTAAATCCAATATTGCGATTCGTTATCACACAGTTGTAATATCAGATCTCGTTTTTCGTATTTGTACGCTATTTAAAAATTACTCATTGCGATTCGTATTCACGTGATCTAAAAATTATTCATCGTGATTCTTATTTACGCAATTTAAAAATTCAATATCGCTATTTGTATTTTCGCGTTTTTAAAATC